TTTTTTGTAAGAAAAGGCTAGTTTTCTACATTACGGAGAACAAGTTACTTCATAGATGGCTGAGCCTGGTCCTCTTTAGCTTAGAGGAAGAGTTCTCAACCGTGGCACTACTGACATCCTAGGTAATCTAACTGTGTTATTTTCTTTTTTAGTGGGGAGAGGGGGTAATAATGGTGGTATACACTCTACAATGTTCACCATCATCTCTGATCTATAGACTACATGCCAAGAGGAACTTTCCATCAAACAGTGACAATAAAATTTTTCCGCGCTGAGCAGTTGCCTTAAAGCTTCTCTTCCTTTTCCTTCTTTTTGTTCACCATATAACTATTCATATATGTGCTTGAATTCAAGCCTTCAAATATTTTAATTGGAGATACCCTCATCTTTGAATTCTTAGTACATGGATTCTTAGGCTCAAGTTCCAAAATTTGTTTCAGTAGTTCTGGTGTGAGGTCTGAGAATTTGCATTTTGGTAACTTCCCAGCAATATGGGTTGCATGTAAGTGCATCTGGAGAGAACGCTTTGAGAGATGCTATTCTATCTTAAAACTTCATCTTGGCTTCAGAAAAAACCACACATTTCCCTGGTTCTCATTAAATCTCTGGATCACTTCTTTCCGCAACTAACATGAATTCAGACTAAAAACCATCCACCACAGTTTGTCATGGATGTGACAAATATTTATTATTACTTGATTAGCCAATGAGTACCCAATGAAAAGTTAGTGATCATAACTACTATTATAGAACACTTTTTCCATTCATGCCTTTTGTTTTTTTGGTACCAGGAAGTGAACTCAGGGCCACATACTTGCCAGGCAAGCATTGCACTGCTAAGCTACATCCCCAACCCCATGACCATTTCTTGTAAGTGCCAGTTTTCTGTTTTAATTCATTTTACTGAAATTTTAAAGATATCTCATAGTCTCTCATAATACTTTGTAATCTCTACCTGATAGCCTACATTATATTCTCATGTTTCCTGTTACCTACATTGTCTTTTTAAAAAAATTTTGTCAGCTCATTATTTTTCTTACATGTTCATTTTAAACCACTACAAACATTAAACCTTTACTTTAACAGTTCCACAAGAATATATCATCCACTAAAAGATGCTCTCCACTTCTTTCTGTTCATAAAAAGTTGCCTATCTAAAAATTTAAACAGATTTTCTAGCTCTTTTATAGCTACTTATGATCAAGTAAATATGAGTGAAGGAGGTGAGAAAACGTCTTGTATCTCTGGCTTCAAAAGAACCATCCTTGCAATTTTTTCTAGGCTAAAATGTGACCATGGAGGGACAGAATACCCCTAACTATGCTGTCAAGACTAAAGTAAAAGGGCATTGGTTCTCAAACTGTGGTCCATCACTATTAAATGCAAAATTTTCAGACCCCATCCCATATCCTCTAAATCATATTCTTGAGGCAAGGCTCAGGAAACTGATTTTAAAAATATTCCAAAAGATTATACAGAAAAACACTAAGATAAAGAACTTTCTGAGAATAGTAAGTTTTCATGGAATAATAACTGAAATCAAGCTGTTGGCTATAGCATTAATACCCTTTGGTATGGTGGGAGGTTTTTCTTAAAATCATGTTAGGTGATTTTGATACACACTAAGTTTTGAGAACTCTACAGGATGACAATATCTCTTCCATTGACCAAAAAGGGTAATTATTTTAAGAAACAAGCTTATTTAAGCCACTGTAACTTAGTATTTACCCTAATGATTAATAAAAGGGCCTACACACAAGACTACATGGATTAAAATCCTACCTATACTAAGTACTTGTAGAATTTAGGCATGTTACTTCACCTCTTCAAGTCCATTTCTATTTCCTTACCTATTTAACTGGATACAACAAAAACAGTACCTACTCTTAATGAGACAAAGATGCCACTGAAAACTGTCATTGTAAATATAAAATCTGTGAGTTGCAATGATAATTATTATAGAAATGGGTAATGTGGTAAGATATGAAATATAAAAATGTATTGCTCTATGATATTCTCCATTACTGAGTGAATAAAACTGATATTTAGAGATGAAAATGAGCAAGAAGCTAAAGGACCTGTAATCGTTCCCGTGTACAGTGATTAAGAGATTATAACTCATTGCCAAAAATATACCAGCTTATTTCCTATGTTCTCTGGAAACTATACATTAACTACTACTAATGATCATCACATATATCTTGTTTTTAGTCATCCCTCATGCTATTTATTTTTCTCAATTGAAATCTTACCATCTATCAATGCTCATTTTAACACCTACAATATGTTCCTTTGCCTGAAATGACTTTTTTTTTTTTTTGGTACCGGGGATAGAACTTGGGTCCTTGTGCTTGCAAGGCAGGCAGTGGAACCACTGAGCTAAATCCCAGGCCCCTGAAATGACTTTTTAGAAAGAAATACAGTAGCTACTTGAAGAAATCAGAGTTAAATGTGTACAAGTCTTCCACAGCCTAGGCAAATGACTCTGAAACAGACTGTTCGTATCATTCACATTCAAAATTGTTCATATCATTGTTCAAACGCAGTAACTACATTATAAAACTAAGCTATAAAAGAGATTTTTCTATTACCTGAAAAGATTCTCTATTTTTACGCTGACGTCTCCTTTCTCTCAGCAAATTCTTCTGTTTTTCTTCTTCCTCCTCCTATTCTAAAGCCCGAATATGCTCTTCAAAGCAAATTAATGCATCTTCTTTGTCCATGTCTAAAATATTTTTCAGATAAAAATCACAATTTTAAATGTCAGGAGGAGATTTAGCTCAATGGTTCTGCCGCCTGCCTCGCAAGCACAAGGTCCCGAGTTCGATCCCCGGTACCAAAAAAACAAAACAAAAAAAGGTACATAAATGTCAGGAGAGTAGTTTACTCACATTCATTCTCTACAAATTTCAAATTTCCTTTTCAAAAAATAACCTGTACTTAAACTCAAATGACTTATAATCATGTTAAACAGGAAAGTTCTAAGGAAAAATTCACAAGAACTCATTTAAATGATGAAACAAAAACGTATGTATATCACAAAAATAAAGTTATCATGTTAAAATATATCAGCAATATAATTCTCCCAGACACTTTTCAGAGCAGTTATCGGTTACCTTGCATGCAGTCATGCATCACAAGGCAATTTTGCAATTTCATCATCGATACTTTTTTTCTTTTGCAAAACTGACTTTACGCTCAGGGTATAGCCTAGTGGTAGAGTGCTTGCACAACCTGCATGAGGTCCTGGGTTCAATTCTCAACACCACACATACACATAGAACTTACTACCTCAAGAAAATAGCGTAAGTAAAATGTCATCATTTATATAAAAATGGCTAAGGACACTTTCAAGTTTGACCTATAATTTACTCATTTCAGGAATTATTTATTAAAGACAAAAAAAAATTTGTACTGAACCACAGAACTCATTTAGAAAGAAATATGAATTAAAATTAATGAAAGTATGTTTTTTTTCGTTCTTTGAGACAGTGTTTCACTATGTAGTCCAGGCTGGCCTGAACTCATGGTGATCCTCCTGCTTTAGTCTCTCAAGTACCAGGATTACAGGCATATGCCAGCATGCCCCGCTTAATAAAACATGGCTATCAGGGACAACGATATAAAACTGAATTAGTGATCACATATAAAGTGAGAGCAATTGTTTGCTGCTGCAGGATACTGTTTCAAACCATTTTTCTTATTTAGCCATTATTCTTACTCTGTAACTCTTCATCTTCTGCAAAAGTTGGATTATCCATCAGATACTGCTGGGCCTCAGACCAAGTAGTAGAGTATGTTACGTTAGCCATATTATCAAGTATATTTTTTAAGGCTTCCCAACTTTTCTTTCGCAACTGCTTTGCTTGCTCCTACAACAAAAGTATGACTAGATCTATGAAGTTCAAAGAAACTAAGATATTTCACTTGTAATTAGTGAAGGTTTCTTTACATTCTAACTGAAAAAACAATTTCAAATATCATGTATCTGTTTTAAATATCCATGCTATTTGTTTTGTCCATGTCCTTGCCTACATGCTTGGCATAGTACTTAGTGTCAATTTTTCATCTCTCCAAAGGCAGCGTCTGGAAACCATATTTCTGTTTTTCTATCCTCACTCCACAAACCTCTCTTATCACCACTGCGGACAAGTCATTTAATGGGTAAATGCTAAAGTTTATACTGACCTTCAGATTATGTACAAATTTTATAATACTTGCATTTACATATTTCTCTTCAAAAACTGGCCAAAATTAAGGAACACACGATGAAAAATACATAAATAAAGCAAAAGTTTTAAAATCCTATTCTACAAGCTTAGTTCAGTGTGAACCACAGCATTTTACTGCCATTCTTTTTTTTTTTTTGGTACCGGAGATCGAACTCAGGACCTTGGGCTTGTGAGGCAGGCGGCAGAGCCACTGAGCTAAATTCCTGGCCCTTTAGTGCCATTCTTAAAGCACAATGATCACATAATATGTAAAAACCACTATTTTAAAAACTAACATGTGGGCTGGGGATTTAGCTCAGTGGTACCACTGCCTGCCTCGCAAGCGTGAGGTTCTGAGTTTGATCCTGGGTACCAAAAACAAAACAAAACAACAAAAAAAACTAACATTCTTAAAAAGTTACTTTCTTTTCCAAAGTGGGTGTAAGGCAGCCAACTAATAACAATAATTGGATATGTACCTACTGTGACTATATTATTACTTACCATGTTAGGTGAAGAGGGATGAACTTTATTATTACAGGAGTTATCCATTCTGTCTTTAAACCAAACTTCTAATAAACAGATCTCTTGCACTATATAAACTGGATAAACTAAGCAACAAAAATGGACATGATATAAAATAACTCCTAGCATTTTCTTATAAAATGCCTTTCTACAAATACCAGTAAGAATAAATGATACTTTTTATTTTTTTGACAGAAAGAATAAAAGATCTTCATAGATTTCAAGATGATCATATTCTGATATTGCATTCCAGGCTCCCATCTCTCCAAACATTTGCTCTGCTTTTCTAGTCATTTAGAAATAAATGTTACTTTTAATTTATTGTAAAAAAATTTCATCAATTTAATATTAAACTAAATATAAAACTACTAAATGAACAGTCTTTTCACTCAAGTTTATAACTGCATTATACTTTTGGATAGTAAAGAAAAAGAATTAAGTACCATTTCTCCTTAGAGAGGACAATTCCCACTGAGCAATGTTTTGTGTTGTAAACTTATCTCTGTTTCTTGGAGGAGAGACTACCAAATCAACCACAGAATTAAATTACAGATTTCAAAAGTTATCAGAAATGTAGTTAACACATAAAATATGACTATGTAAGAAAAATAAAGTCCTTCACTAAGGCTTTTCCAGAAGAATAAAGAAAACAAAACACACTGGGAAAAGACGCTTAAAAATTAAAAAAAAATTTAATATTGAACCACCCCAATCTTAAATAATAACCTAAACTTAAGCATGCTATACACAAAAGCTGATCAAAATATATAGTGAATGTTAAAATATTTTACAATAAAGACACATTGCCATTAATCCTCTTCAAAACGCCCTCATTTCAAACACACTTATCTCAACATTCTTGCCACTGTTTGAGGCAGTTCTGCAAGTCCTCCCTCTTTCCTAAATATGTCTTTACAGGGTGTGATAAAAAATACAGTGAACGCTGCTAGTCAGTGCCATACACAAAACAGAAAGGCAGACTCATAAAAACATTACAGTGTGTCCTCACACATTCACTGGATCTGGCTCTTCCCCAAAGTAAAAAATGATCATGAAAGATAAATGTTTTAAATGGATTCAGGATATCCAAACAGTCATGACAGCGCAGCTTTAAAGACACTCACAAAAGAGGACATCCAGAACTGTGGCAAGAATGATGAGATAACTGTATTCAAAAGAAGGGAGAATATTTTGTGAGGGATTAATGCCAATGTGTCTTTTATTACAATATTTTTCTTAAAAAATTGCACACTGACCATGTTTTTCAATAATACCTTGTAAATGTAAATTTTCAAAATGTTACACTTAATGGAAATAGCTTATTTCTATCTCACAAATAAAAGTTTCAATCTTCTTATGAAGTAGAATAGAGTCAAGCTTGACTATTACAGTCTTTTCCCCTTTTTCTTCTAGTCTCTAATTAGTAACTCAAGTCTACAAGTTAAATTTCACCTAACTGCTAATATATCTTGCGCTTTATGAAAGCGCTGCATTCACTGTATAAAACTGCCACAATCATCTACCTTCATTTAACACATCCACTGTGGATTACTTAGTACACTTGGCAAAAAGTACAACACAATCAATATGATAATCATATTCTATGCATCATTAAAAATCTTACTTATATCTGGTTGTAGAAGTCATTTTCTCATGATTTTCAAGAAAATGCTGAAATGGGCCCGGGATTTAGCTCAGTGGTTCTGCTGCCTGCCTCGAAAACTGAAGGACCTGAGTTTGATCCCCAGTACCAAAAAAAAAAAAGAAGAAGAAGAAGAAGAAAGTGAGGAAGTTGGAAGATCAGAATGAGTATGAGTCCCACTGCCCTTGAAAGGATGTCACTTTCAATTTAAAAATCAGAGACATTGATGCAGC